AGTTTGCCATTTTAATTAATGCTTCCAATTTCGTCTCGTCATGTTTAGTTAGTTCTCGATAAATATTACAAGCATCGTTATACTTTTTTTTTATATAAATGATTTGCGATGCTTAAAGCATAAGATTTACTTTGGTTTACACCTTGCCCATATATATGACAAAGTGCTAAATAAAATGTTGACTGGCCATAAATTTTAATTCTACTTTTACTGTTTGAATTCATATAACCTTTGTCAGCTAGACTTTTAAAAGTATCATATGCTTGTGTATATTCACCATTTTTATATTCTTCAATCGCAGTTTCAAGTCTTTCCTCATCCCAATCTATTGTTTAACCTGAAAATTAAAATTGAAAATGTTAAGTATTTAAATTTTTTAAAAAATAAGTTCAAGAATAATACCCATTTGTATATAACAAGAAAATTTCTTATTTTATTTATAAATAATCAAAAAGTATTTCTCTTGTTAAATGGTTTTCAATTTAACGAATAATATTGTTTTATGCCAAATTATATAAATCTTAAAATTATTCATGCAAATTTATAAATAATTTTGGTATTTAACACAAAAAAAAATGGTAAAAAACTTTAATTTACGAATTGTATAATTAAATTGTTGGTAATTAATATGCACTTTTAAAGTTCAATTTAGATAAACTTAAAAACTTACAAATTTTTGAAGTATCTTATCTTTTACCCATATTGTCGCGAAATAACATCTGAAATTCATAATTGTACCCTGCGCAGCATAGCGGATAATGAAGAGAAATGTAATGATATTTATTTTGAAAATAAAAGTCAATTTACTTACATTTTCTTGGATTTGCTTTTTTTTAATATTTAATTAAGCAGAATAATATTTTTAATTATATGATTAAAATAATTTTCAATTTATTTTATCTATGTATTGATGTTAGAAAAATCAATTTATGAATTGTTTTCAAATTTTATAATTACATTTATAACATATTCAACTACGAAATTAACTCAGCTTTTGTGAAGTTATTTTCTGACAGCCTCTGATACCAAAAATAATTTTGAATGAATCTTCTAATATCCTGCTTATTTTCAATTATGATTATGTTTCAGATTGTAATAAAAATTTCATTTCAATTAAATACTATAAAATTAAAATTTCAAAATCTAATCATATTGTCGTGAAATAATAGACATAGACATTATTTAAAATAATGCTCATACTCGTTATTTCGTGACAAAATACGATAAAATAACTAAGTATCAAAATAAAATAATTTGGCTTTAATTAGTTTTGCACTAAGATGGAAAAAGAAATAAAGAATTCACTCTTTTTTTAAACAATGCAGCAAATCAGTATGTCTTTATAATCTTCATTGATTTTTTTATCTGCAATCTCAGTCTACATATTTAACTCATTGATTAACATTTTTTAATTATCTATTTAACAGAATTACAATTAGTTAAAAGAAGGGTATATTGTCTTAAATTTTTATTTAATTACCAGTAAACTTAAAATTATGATTTCCTGTTGAAATTTGACGGCACACATATATATACAAATAATTTATTAAAACTTTAAATCGCTAAGGCTTCAGAAAATCTAATAGTTTATAAAAAAATTAATATATTTTTATTGCAGTACATATAATTAAAAATTAAAACAAATTAATTTAAAAAAGTTTATTTTTTTTAATTTCTCAACAATTAGAATAATTATCAATGAGCTTGTAAATCTAAAAATAGAACTTTTAATTTCCAAAAAATTAAATCTTATATTAATTATGATTCTTATACAATACAGTGTTAAATTATTCTTTTATTTTAACATTTTGCAACAAACTAAATAGAAATACATGATTTAATTTAATCAGCCAATAGAATTTAATTGCTTTCTTATTATTTGAATAATTTAAGCATTATAATCTATTACATTATATATAAAATTAACAGTTTAAGCAAAATATTCTACATATCTAAAAATACTTTCCAAACCCTAATTTAACCCTAAAGGTAAAAAAGCAGCATAGTATATATTGGGACGAACTGAGAGGATATCCTTCCAAAAACGATAAAAAAGATGCAAAAGTAAAAGAGCTCCCCACTCTGGATGAAGTTCTTACAAAATTAGGTGATTTAAGAAGTAAAATTGAAAAACAATCATTTTTTGATCTTTCGAAGGAAGTTGATTATATACATAGCCTTCAAGACAGTATTTTTTTTATTGAAAAGGATTATATTCAAGCTGCTAAGGATGCTTTCAAAAAAAATAATATATCAGATTCAAAAATAATTTACAAAATATTTAAAATATTTTCTCAAGGCCATTTTAATAAACATGAATTGTTAGCCAATTATTACTTAAGTTTATACTATAAAAAAGGGTTTGGATATGATAAAAATGAGGAAAAGGCTTTAGAACATATAATTACTGCTGCAAAGCGTGGCAACCATGGCGCTAAAAAAGTACTGAAAAAAAGGAATATAAAATGGGATTAGCAAAGATATGACCCATGAGAACATGAAAATTATGGTTAAGGAGATTATAGATTTCCTATATTTAAAATAATAATAATAATAATAAATAAAAACTGTATATCAAAGAATAATTGTTTACAGATCACATCATTAGAATCAGGATACTGTTAATGATAATAGAATTAAATGTTAATTTTAAAAATTTCTTCTATACCATTTTATTTTTAAGATTATTGTTTTTCTTTCTATTTCTACTAGATTTCTAGTGTTTAGTTTATAATTTAATAAAGAATGAGCAAATTTGATATTGAAATTTAATATATATTATTTTCTATAAAGATAAATTGACAGATAAAGGTTTAATTGATCTTATACAAAGTTTAAACTTTAAAATTTTTGTTCTAAAAATTATCTTCTAGTTCTTTTAAGCTTTTTTCAGTAAGCTTATAATCAACATTGGCTGATTGGTATTTTTCTTTAATATTTTTTAATAAGTTCATCTGTTGGCATAACCTTTAATCTGTTTGGATCTATTTTTTTATTCTCAAAAATTACGTTCTACTCCAAACGCACTACAAAAATGATGGAACGTCATGCTGCAATCATTTCATCCCTGATTCTTAATTCCTTTCTTACACCTGATGCTTCTGCTGTTATAATCTTATAGACTCATGCTTTAATTGTTTCACCTTTTACAAATAAACTGTTCTATTCATTTGCATTAGAGTTTTGTTTCCATCTACCTGTTTCTTGATCTATCTTCTCAATAAATCTAGAAATTGAAAACTTATTCTCTTTCTTTAGTTCTTTTACCTTTTTTGTTAATTCATATGAAATTCGTGCTAATTCACAAAGTGAATAAATATATTGAACCCTTGAATTATTATATTTATTTTTACTATAAGAAATTTTTCTGAAGATATTTCTGATTTGACATCTTATGTCAACCTCTTTCTCAAAATAACCATTAACATTTATTATTTGTAAGCAAGAAAAAATTCTCAAATTCTTTTTGGATTTTTTCAAAAATTTTATTTATTGGCTCACCACTGTTCATTATTGGTTTTGGATTGCCTTCAATTTGAATATCAAAATATTTCCTAGTTTTGTCCTATTATATATATTTATTTGTTTAGAAATAAAATATTTTTTATTTTATATTAGGATTTTTTTTTGAATTCCTTACTTGTAAAGGATGATTTCTTTTAATTTTGATAATATTAACTTTATAAAATTAATAATTCACATAAAAAGTTATTATCTGAATAATATTAATATCTGTTAAGATCACTTGAGAATCCTCTATTTCATTTTTTTCATAAATAATTATCATTATATTTAGATCAAATTTATGCAAAATTCAAAACATTAGGGTCATTTTGATAGCAAAGCTTATATATATTAATTTTAATATTCACAGAAATTTATCTAAAAACTAGAACCCAACCTTTGAGTTTTGTTTGCTTGGTCTTTTTCAATTACATTAGAGCCATTAATATCATTTTGTTCTCCTTCATTGTTTTGTTCTTTTGGATAATCAACTTAACGAATTATATTAGCTGAATTATCATTATTTAATGATGAGGAGGTATCGAACATTATTTCATTATCGTCTAATACATCATATACTTTAATGCGCTGAATTGGAATTGAGTAATAAATGAATAATAATGTGTTTAAGCGAAAACTTTATTAAACTAATAATGTAACCAGATAAACAATCTAACCTCGTCAATTGAATTATTAGCCTGTTGGCTATTTTCCAAAGTTATTAATATTGATTCATTAATTTTATTAGAACTGTTATCAGAACTTTCGTTAAACCCTTCTTTACTCTAAAATAATTATTGTTAGCAAAATAATTATAAATTCACAGTATTTTTGATAACTACCAATCTAGGAAGTAGTTACTGTGAGAACTTCAATACTAGGTAAAGAACTTCTCTCTGACAAAACTTCATTATTTTGTTCACCATCATGCTTTAATTAATAATATAGTATTTAATTAATTTCCAAATCAATATTTTTGATGACTAATAATATAGATAAACTTACTGAACTTTCATTATTATGCTTAGTTGTAATATTAGTAGCTTTTTTTTTGCTTTTTTTGACACTTTATAATTTTTGATTTCAAATTTGCGTTTTCGAACTAAATCTCTTTGTTCTTCGATTTCTTCATCTGAATCATTAGCTGTTAGAAATAATTAATAATAATAATAGCACTAAAAAATTTATTGTCACAGCTGATGCTGAAAATGGCTAATGCTGAAATTTTGATTATTTATTATTAAATTTTTAAAATTTTTTAGGGTATATTTTTTTAGTCATTATATAATAGTTTGAGTAGAGTTTAGGGTTAGGGTTTATTAATTAAAGTATATAGATAGATTTTAGTAAGTTTTATAGTTCTAAATAGAAACTCCAAAATTTCTCAAAATTTCAGCATCAGCTGTGACAATATATATTTTTTTAAAAAAATTCAATACTGTTATGTAATTTTTTTAGAACTAATAAAAGTGTATTAATGTTTATTATCTTGTTTTCAAGAAACAATTACTATTTTATATTTTTTTCATAATCGATTATTATAATAAGCTTCTAGCACGAAAATTAAAAATCACTCTAGATGATGAATAAATGTACTGACTTCAAAATTTTTGACCCAATCAAGCTAATTATGCGAAAATTATTAATAAGATTTTATAAAATTTTATATTATTTGCTTTGAAAACTGTGAGTAACCAAATGATATCATGTCTGTGCCCAACAAAAGGCACAGGCACGAGTATGAAAATTCAGGCATGTATTTGTGAATAAAATTGGCACATAATTTTAGTAATTGTTGTGACTGATTAAAATGAAATCAGATCAAAATGAAATATTGTACAATATAAAAAATAGACAAGCCGCTGAAAAATAAAAATTTTTGAGGTGCATTTTTTAGGGTTAGGAGTTAGAGTTAGAGGTTAGTTTTAGGGTAGTGTTTAGAGTGTCTAGAATTCTGCGATGCATAATTCTGCTCGCTCTAAAAATATCTTTTGTATTGTATTTAGTTTTTAAAAAATGATTAAAGTCATGTTTATCTTATGGAAACAATACAAAAAAATATTTTTAGAGTGAGCAGAATTATGCATCACAGAATTCTAAACACCCTAGTAGTGTTTATAATAAACAAGTATAGGTAGGTTTTAGAGAGTTA